TAGGGAAAAACATCATATAATCCATTGATGGACCAGCCTGATGGTTAAGCGAGCTTGACCCCACAAGACTGACCAGTTCAAATCCTACCCTCTCAGCTTGAGAAACACACCAGGTGCACTGCGTATGTGCCCCGAATTCACACAGATACAGAAATGGGGGAGAGTGCTTTCTGCCTTCCCCCCTCTGTCCGTCTCTCTGTCTTCCTCTGGTGAGTATACACACTGGCTGGCAAAATATAATAAATCATTGGTCTGCCAGAAATAAACAAGGGTCTTTCAACTTTCTCTGCCTTGAAACCATGCAAAGCATAATTTCATAGTATTAATCAAATAAATGGGAGGGTTTATCAGGTATTTCTTCTTAATTAGAAGACAGAATGCTTTTATAAGTCTTTCAAATGAACCGGTAGACAGGGCAGGGGACTTGCCAATGTGTAGACTGGGAAATAAGGTGCTGTCATCTTCAGAATTTCTCACTCTTGTTTCTTGCTTTGTTCTCCTGAGACTCTCAGTGACAATAGTTGAAAAGACTGGGGAAAAGAACTTGTTAAACAAAAATTGTCACCCTTTCCACCACTCTAATCTACTGTATATTTTTAATTCAGAACATATTCATATGGGTTAGGGAGACCCTTTTTTTAGGATTATGTTAGAGGATGCATGCACTTGCTGGGAGAAGACAGAGAGAGAGAGAAGGAAGTGAGAATGCACTCACTAGGGGAATGCCTGCACTACAGTCCCTTCTCCATTCTCCTTTCATAGCTTTAGGCAGGCACACACATGCACCCAGCATTTTTCAAACTGCAGGGTCAGGGACTAAACTGCAGTGCTGGCCATGTGGGATCCAGCTGGCTCAACCATGATGCCATGGGCTGGTCCATGAACCTGTAGATTTTGACAATAAATTTGGGTTACATAGCTGATTGAATTAGATGATTTTTAACGAAATTAACATCTATCTTATATTTGGTATTAATCTCTTAGAGAGTAGAGGTGAAGGATATGTTAATTAGCTTGACTGAAACTTTACATAGATTAAGAACTCACATTGTGCCCCATAAATGTACACAATTATTATTTGTCAACTACAAATTTTTTAAAAGGGGATAGCTGAGCGGCTTGTTTAGTGCAGGGGAAAAGAGGAAATAAAAATACCTTCTGTAGGCCTTCAGGGACAGATTACTATGTAGCACGGGGGTTTTCAGCAGATAGGTACCATGAGCCAAAGGCAGCTTCCCCAGTCCTGCCCTCAATCCTTCTATGTCAAATGAACGTTAATCCTTCAGTGGTGCTCTAGGAAGAGAGCAGTAGATCTGATCTTAAGGAACAAGAGACAACGGTCAAATCAGAGATGCCAGTTCAGCAGCACCTAGGGGAGTGCAACCCTCCGGGTCTAGAGCTCAAGAGCCCCAAGTCCTTCGTCTTCACTGCACGGCGTAAACCTGACCTAACAAAATGGCTGACAGTCTCCTGATTCCAGAGCTGATGACCGAGGGTACATTGTATGTTCCCTTGGTCCTCTATAGGCAGGGGCCCTTGTGATTAGATCAGCACCCATTCTTCATGGTAGGTGCCCATGGCACACTGGCTTTTGCACACTTCAAACTTCACAAATTCTACTCACACCCCTTTTGGAGAATGGGGACTTTTTTTTTTTCCTGGTCTTCTTACCAATTAATGTTTGTATATCAGATTTTGGTCTGACATTTGCATTGACTGTAATATGTGAATAGTGATTGAGGGTCTTTAAATTTCAGAAATACCTGCACATGTGAAATGAGGATATGTACAAAGATGCATCAGCTTTGACAGCCTTCAAAATTCTGGGACCACATAGCGCCTCAGCCAAATAAGAACAATTTCTCTTCTCTCCTTCCCCTACCCTGTTCTGGCCTAAACTCTAGCTAGCAAGTAAGAAAGGCATGGAGAAGGGATAGGGCAGGGGAAGCGAAAGCAACAACACACCCTGCCCTGGAAGCAGATAGCCCAACTACAGCCTTCTGCTTGGGAGAAGTAGAGAAGAAGTCTCTGGACACATTTTACTCCCTGAATTCAGATTGGCTTTCTGTGATTTAAAGTAACTATAGGAGTGTCTATGTGCTTATGAGCAAATGAGAAAGTCATGTTATCTATCCAGCTTCCCACCAGAGCCCAAGTTTACTCACAGTACATACTTTTTAAGGGAAACAAAGTTTTATTTTAGTCTCATCACATTTTTCTACAATATGACAAGTACTGAATTTATAACAGACATGTTGTACAAAGCATGTTTCTTATAATCAGTTTGCAGTGACGTAACTCTTATACACATTAGCATAAAATGGTTTTATTTCCCACTAACTGCTACTCATCTGTATCCTGTTGAAACCTCCTCTATACTTTTCCATTACGTATAAAGCATCCTTAATGTTGTCTCTAGTTTCATAACACTTTCACTCATTTTTAGTTAAACAGCTTCACGGGCCAGCAGATGTAGTGTTGGTGAAGGTGTTGGACTCCTACAAGGCCTACGGTGATTTGAGTCCTGGACCTGGAGACTTGAAAAATCATGTTGGGTAAGTGTGTGTTTATGCCCAAAATCCCAGGAAGAGAATGGAGGAGAAGGGAATGTGGCATGGCCATCCCCCGGAGGGTGATTTCACTTTCCTTCTGTCTCTCTGGTGAGCACACATGTCCTATGGCAAAAACCTTAAAAAAAACAAAACAACTACCACCCAGCTTCACTATAGTAAAACTTACCTGCATGTTCTTTAAAGCTACAATCTCAAAGTTCTCCATCTCACCCTGGCCCCTGTTGCTTTGGTGACATTTGAAGGACTTATTAACATTTATTCATTGTGTATCATTGCAGCATACCAAATGAATTTGCCCACCACGAATACACTATATATTAGTTCAAAGTCATTACTATACATAGGACTGTCTTTTTTCTCCTGCCTTTCCCCTATGCCTCTTCCCAATAGCTTCCCCAAATAGATTATCATGCCTTCTTCATAGAACATCACTGCTGATCTGCTTCCTAAACTCAGCAAGGTTTAGGGACTACTGATCCCACATGAGGGATTCAAAGCCAAGTAGCTACTCCTTTTTACAAAGAAAAAAAAAAAAGAGTAAACCAGCTCAGAGAAAAACCAGCAGTGGAATGAGACCCTGGTTTCTCTGCTTCCCAGGTTAATATTTCCTGGTCTCTATCAATACATTCTACAGACAAATGGTCCATGACAAGACAAATTGGTCATGCCTTCAAAGAACTTAATGAGAATGTTTAATGAGGGTAAGAGAAATAAGGAGTTAATTACTTGACATAGACACAGAGTAATTTTAATTCAGTTTGGAACCTTGGGTCCATCTTTAATTCATCTATACTTTATTCTGTCTCGGACATAACTTATGCACTCATAGCTAAAAGTAAAGCGTCTGTTAAAGGATGGCTTTTCATTCTGTTGTTTTCCAGTGATTTATCTCCAGGCTTGACCTTTCTCTAGGCTCCTGGAGAAACCTTCTGCTTCTGATTTAAATACAAGGTTCTTACTTAGGATTTTATCAGAGAGAAACTATTTCACACATACACAGCACAAACTAAATAGAGCAGATGATTTTTATTATGATTTATTACAGTGGCTTTAGTATCCTTGTAGATGAATATAGTCAAGATAGCAAAATAATCAAGTTAGCTGATCACTGACCAATGCAAAACGCTTAAGAACATTCGAAAAAACAGTGTATGGAGCAGTGTGTAGACTAAAACTAGTTAGGCTTTCATCTCCATACTGAACAGTCACCACCAGCACTATGGTTCATCAGAAGAGCTTCCACTGCTGTGTCACAACCTCTAAGCTATAGAGGGGAGACAAAAACAAACTTAGGGAGAAACTATAAAAGCAACAACAGTCAGACATTACTGAGAAAACAGTAGTTGTATGGTGGCATTATAAGAAAACTGAAAGTTTCTTCAAAAGCTGGGCTACTGAAATCTGTAAATTCACATTTTCTTAACTTATAAGACAATTAGACATATTTAAGAAGAAATTATTTCCTAACCGGTGGTTGTTTTTATTATTATTTTTATTATTCTGTTTCTTAAAATTTCCTAACCCACTTTAATGAATCAAAAATGAAAATCACACACGCACATACACAGTCATAGAAAGGGAATGAACTTGAAATTTTGAATCAGGAATGAAGACGTTAAATGGCTTTGCTTAAATAAAACAAAATATCACACAAGAGTGTAGATATAAATGATGTTTTTTCTAACAAGCATGAATTGAATATAAAGATACCAGGGTTTTGAGACCAAAGCCAATAGACATGACCATTTAAAAAGTTAGTTATATTAGTTCATTAATGTCCTTTTTACAGCTGCTATGATGTGTCTGGCACTGATTCCAAACATATCCAGCAACTGACTAGGTGTACCACTCTGAGGCACTCCTGACACTGCCAAGTGACGAATGAGGATGGCAGGCTCCCTGGAAACAGCTGCACATATAGCTTCTCCAATGCCACCTTCCCTGTAGTGATCCTCCACAGTGATAATCCGGCCACCTGTGGCTTTTGCATTGGAAATGATGGTGTCAGTATCCAAGGGTTTAATGGTAAATGGGTCGATGACACGAATTGAAATACCTTCTTGGGAAAGATCAGCAGCAGCTCTTAAGGCTTCATGAAGAGTAACTCCAGCTCCAATAACTGTGACCTTGTCATTGACACCCTGGCGGACTACCTTGGCCTGTCCAATTTGAAACATTTCTTGCGAGTTATAAATAACTGCAGTCTCTGGTTGGCTGGTCCGGATGAAGCACATTCCCCTGGTGTTGGCAGCCAGAAAAACAGCATGCTCTGTAGCAATGGCATCGCTTGGGTAGAAAATAGTGCAATTAGGAATGCTTCGGAACATGGCTATATCCTCCAGGGCCATCTGAGAAGGACCATCTTCCCCAACACATACTCCACAGTGGGAACCAATAAGGTTGATATTGGTCTGAGAGATAGCTCCCATCCGGATCTGATCAAATGCTCGGGTCAAAAAGGCAGCTAAGGTACTAGCAAAAGCAATGGTTCGACCTCGTGTGGTGCAGCCCACTGCCACACTTACCATGTTTTGCTCAGCAATAAAACACTCTATGAACCGCTCAGGATGCTCCTTCTTGAATATCTCAGAGAAGGTGGAGTTCTTGGTGTCACCATCCAGCACAACGACTCTGTCATTTATATGGCCCAGCCTAGCCAGAGCCAAACCACATGCCTTCCGAGTGGCCACCTAGAAGATGGACAGAATCGCGGGTCTGAGTTTCTTAGGGTGCATTTAGGAGAACAGCATAATTTTTACAGAATTACACATCATCGCCGACTTGGATGAAGACTGTGAACTTGTGCATCCACAGTCATCTCCTTTAGGGTCTTACATATGGATTACCAGCCAACCTAAGGTCCCGACTTGGCCCACTGGATGCCGATTTCTTAAAAACCTGTCTCGCACATGGCTGATGTGGTACCTGGCTTTTTCTCAAATCATGCTTTTCAGTTCTGTTCTTTCCTGAATAGCTCAGACAAGGTGGAATTCTTTGAGTCACCGTCCAGAACAATAACTCTCTCATGTGTGTGGCCTAGTTTAGCCAGAGACAAACCACATGCTTTCTCAGTAGCTATCTTGTCTCCAACTTTATAAGCAGGTAGAGAGGTCATTTTTATATTGGTGATGTTGATTTGGGGGGAGTCTTCAACAGGGGCTTGTGGTATAAGATTCCTGTTGGTCTGTATTTGACTCTCAATTAATTTGATAATTGCATCTGCTCTTTCTTTCGGCATTGGCTTCCCATGCCAATTCTCTGCATCCTCGATGTTTGGAATACCCCGGCCCTTAAAGGTCTTGGCAATCACAGCCGTGGGCTTGTTCTTCACTTGAGCTGCTTGCCAAAACACCTGGCACAACGCCTCCACATCGTGGCCATCCACTAGGTAAGTATTCCACCCAAAGGCTTCACAACGACTCTGGTAAACGTCTGTGCAGTGCTCAAGGGGCGTGGAGCCACTCTGTCCCAGACGATTTACATCAAATACTGCCACAAGATTGTCCAAACCATAGTGGGATGCAAAGGCTAAAGCCTCCCAGACCGAGCCCTCTGAGGACTCGCCGTCTCCCACGAGGCAGAACACCCGGTAGCTGGCCCTGTCGAAGTACTTGCCAGTGTAGGCCATCCCACACGCAGCGCCTAACCCTTGCCCAAGCGACCCTGTGGCCACGTCCACAAACGACAGTCGAGGAGTGGGATGTCCCTCCAGGTTGCAGTGGATTTTCCTCAAGCTCAGCAAGTCGGACTGGCTGATGTCGCCCAGCTCGGCCCAAGCGGCGTAGAGGACCGGGGCTGCATGGCCCTTGGAGAGGACAAAGCGGTCGTTGTCCGGGTGTCTGGGGTCGGCCGGCTTGTACCTCATGGTGCGGAAGAAGAGGACCGACACGATCTCCGCGGCGCTGCAGCACGACGTGGGGTGGCCGGAGCTGCAGGCGCACGTGGCCCGGATGGACTGGACCCGCAGGCGGTTGGCCGAGTCCCGCAGGGCCTGCAGGGTCCCCGCCTCGGGCTTGGGGTAGACACGCATGC